CACTTTAAGCCCATAGTCATTATATAACTGTACCTTGAATATGTTTTGGTCAGCAGCTAAAATAATAAAAATTGTGCCTGTGTCCAAATATATGGACCTGACTTATTTACATGTGCTTCTCCTAAACTGGATCACATGTCCTTGTGGTATTTTAAGCATTATTATGATTTAATAAAAAAGTAGAGAGAATAAAATACTCAAGTAGAGGAGGAAAGAAGCAGGTGTAATATTTTTCAGAAATGTTATTTTCCTTTCCTCATGTCATTCTAAACCCATATGCTGATGTTGTTTCTTTTTTTTAGAAAATGTTTTCTATAGATTTTTTTTCTTAAAATAAGTTCTATACTAAGTTCTGTAGTAAACATTACTTGAAGAAGCATTTACATTTATTTTTGTCCAGCAACAAGAGTCATAACTTGATTTTGAACAAAAACAACAACAACAACAGTATACTATTTAGAAACACCATGAGAATGGTGGATAATAACAGAATTTTTGCTGAAACTGGTTCTGTAATATTATGATGAAGCTGTGCGAGCCATGGCATATTTACCCAAACTTGAAGGATTTCAAATTCACTTGGTTGTTGCAAACATTGGAGAGAAACCTCATAACAATTTTGGAGCTTTGCATTTGGAGTCTCTGTAAACAGACATGGTTTGTAATAAGATATTAATGAACATCACATACCACATACCACATCAACCACCACCATTCATTAGCATGATTATCATCATTTTTTTGTTTTGTTGCATTTTCACAATCATTATTGGGGTTTTGACCTACATAAATTAAACTGATTTAAACTGAATGATATCATTATACTGTATTAATCACTCTTATCCTCATAATCACTTTATTCCATCCTATATTTCTGCTCCCTTAGACAAATTGCTAGACAAAACTAGACAAATAGCACTCTTCCCCCTACACAGCAACTAAAATAAAGACATTTAATTAGTAGCTGTTCAAAGCAGTGTGGGCAGCATAAAGCAGATTTTAGCTCCATGAACAGCACATGTGAATCCACCATCACAGGTTTTGTTTTGACAATATTATCTTGGAATCCGGTTTGTTCCTCACAATAGACTGTGCAAGAGCCTTCAGGCAATTTGATACCAAAAGCAGACACACAATACACAATGATGATTATTAGTCCCATTACAGGCTGGCAAAGCACCCTTTAGCTTGTATATGGCGGCATATGATAAGCTACTTATGTTTGATTGTCTTCAGACAATACATATAACTAGGTGAGTAAAGTTCGCAGACGAACTTTGAAGTTGGCTTGAGAAAGCCTTGTCTGAAAGTTTGAAATAGCTTTGAAAAGCTTAAAGTTTAATTTTAATTGTTGAAACTGAAGTTTGGGACAGAGTGGGAACACACGTTTCTAGCATGCATTAACTTGCTACTAGCATTATTTAACATGTCACTAGCATGTTGCTAGCATGATTAGCATGTTCCTAGCATGTTCTTAGCATGTTTCTAGCATGATTAGCATGTTACTAACATGGTGTTAACACGATTAGCAAGTTACTAGCATGATTAGCATGTTGCTAGTATGTTGTTAACATGATTAGCAAGATACTAACATGATTAACAAGTTACTAACATTTTGTTAGCATTTTTCTAACATGATTAACATGTTACTAGCATGTGTTAGCATGATTAGCAAGTTACTAGCATGTTGTTAACATGTTTCTAGCATGATTAACAAGTTACTAGCATGATCCTAACATGATTAGCATGTTGCTAGCATGTTACTAGCATGATTAACAAGATACTAGCATGATTTTAGCATGATTAGCAAGTTATTAGCATGTTGCTAGCATGAACAGTAAGTTACTAGTCAAGTCAAGTCAAGTAAAGCTGATCGCCAAGCTTAAGATTAAAATTCATATTTGAAATCACTAATGAAATAAGACCACTGTCTCAAATGTTTCTTTTGATCAAATAGCGTAAAAAAAACTATTTTTCAGGCTTGACCAGCCAGTGTGCATGTGCAGTCCTGAGCGCACGTCTCAGAGCGCTGACTGTTTCTATAGCAACCGGGACTTCTAACGGCAGCTGCAGTGACGTGCTGACTTTACCGATTAGCGATTTACTCTTTCATTCAGAAGGCGGGGCTTCCTGCGATTGAGCGGCCATATTAAGCGTTGCATTTTTCCCCATTCAACACTATATGAGTGACACGTCTTGGGTATTCTATAGTCTTTGTTATTACTCATTGGTTACTTGAAGAGTCAAATGAGTGTGAGAGTGAGTAATAGTAACCCTAATTGTGTTAGCATTACGTTAATAACATGCTAATTTTGTTAGCATTATGCTAAAAACACGCAAACATAATTAACGTGTTATTACCATGAAATTAGCATGATTAGCATGTTGCTAGCATGTTTTTAACAAGATGTTAACATGATTAGCATGATGCTAGCAATATGCTAACATGATTAGCACATTGTTAGCATGATGCAAGCATGTTTTTAACAAGATGTTAACATGATTAGCATGTTGTTAGGGCTGGGCGATTTGGCAAAAAAATTAAATCTGGATTTTTTCAGAACGTTTGACCGATTCTCGATTTTTTACGATTTTTAACTAGTCAACTTAAAAAT